CTCCCTGTCCCTACTCCGCATCCCATCCATTCCCTTCCTCAGCTTACGATGTACAAGGAGCTCCCTGCTCGCCCCTGCAGGGCTCCTGCCCCCTTTGCCTGGTTTCTTCACCATGGGCATGCGCCGGGCTTGGCCTTGGAGGAGCCAACGAGGGATGGGACGAGAGGAACCGGCCTCAAGCTGCCCCAGGGCAGGTTTAGATGGAGCTGAGGAACAATTCCTGCCCCAGAGGGTGCTCAGGCATTGGAACAGGCTGCCCAGGGCAGGGCTGCAGGCACCGGCCCTGCAAGGGTTCACACCCCGGGGAGACGAGGCAGGGGCCGCAGGCACCTCCTGGTGCACACAGAGGGGAGGGGGGCACGGACACAGGGGCTGGGCTCGTGTCACAGGGAAACCGATGGAGAAGGAGGAAAAGGACAGATCCGAGCCAGGGGCTTCCTCCAAAAGGCACCGTCCCCATCGTCCCCCCCCGACCCACGGCACAGCTCTGTGGGGGTTAATGGGGCACCCGCACAGCGGAGGGACGGCCCCCGCCGCACCGGTAAAGAGCATCAGCAGCATCACCTCCAGGACAAGCCGCGGTGACGGCCGGAGGTGACTGCGCCCTGCCGGGCACCAGGAGCCCCTTCCGCCGGCATGGCCCGGTCTCCAGGAGGTGCTGCCGGCCAGGGCCATGGGTCAGGGATGCTGCCCGGAGGCTGCCCGGCCCAGTGGGTCCCGCTGGCTCCTTTCTAATGGTCCCCGTGGGTGCCAGCGACGCAGAGCAGCAGCCTGGAAGGCAGTGAAGACACAGAGCCCCGGGGGACGTGGTTCTGGGGCTCAGGTGTGCTCCGGTCGCTCCTCCATGTCGGACCTTGGCCATGGGTGCCATGGTTTAGTGCGAGGTGTCCCTGCCCACGGCAGGGGGTTGGAACCGGGTGATCCTAATGTCCTTCCCAACCCAAAAGCACTCCATGATTTATGACCTTGGAAGGGCGGATCTGGCGCAGAAGGGGGGTTACAAGAGCAGGGCCATGGGGCAGGCTCTGGTTTTGTGCAGCGTGGGACGTGCTTTGGGAGGCCAGGTCTGCTGCAGGCTGCTGGGGCCTCCGGTGCGCCTGCAGTGCGGGGAGCAAGCGAGGAATCGGAGGGTGGGTGCACGTCTGCGGGGCTGCGGTACCGCCGGCACCACGGAACCACGCTGGGATGGCTCCGGTGACTGCAGTGTTGCAGTGAAGGTCATCGGGCTCCTCAGGAAAAGCAGGCTTGGCCCCGTGCTCACCAGCAGGGGAGGGCTGCTCGGAAAATGGGGTGCTCCAGGGCAGCCGCGGATGCAGCCATCATGGGAGGGTCGAGTTTGAGGTCCCCGGGGCAGTGAGCAGAGCGTGCAGCAAGCTCAGTGCTCTGGCCCATGGGATGTAGCCCTAGAGGGCCAGGGGGCCCGGGCTCTTGGTTGATATTCAGGGGTCACCTGCTGCAAGCTCAGGGGTTCATTCCTCAAGTACCAGCTCCTCCAAGGCCAAGCCCGGTGCATGCCCATGCGGAAGGAACCAGGCAAGGGGGGCAGGAGGCCTGCATGATGAGCAGGGAGCTCCTTGTACGTCGTAAGCTGAAGGAAGGAATTGATGGGATGTTGTAAGGGACAGGGGAGGATGCAGGGGCTTCATGAGGGGATGCAGGGATGCCAAGGCCCGCTTGGGACTGAGCCTGGCAAAGCACATCAAGGACAGCAAGAAGGGCTTCTGCCAAGCACATCGGTAGCAACGTGTGTGATGCTGCTGCTGGATCCAGGGGTGCCCCGGAAGCAGGAGCCACAGAGAAGGTGGAATTCGCCTCAGGCTTTACCGCTGAGAGCAGCCCTCGGGAGCCCCACACCTTGGGGGTCAGAGATGGGGCTGGAGAAAGGAAGATTTGCCCCTGCTCACAGAGATGAGTTCCGGACCGGCCAGGCAGAATGAGCACCCGGAAACCCATGGGCCAGACAGAGCTGAGAGCAAAGGCAAGGGGGGCTGCGGCCACCACCAAGGGTCTGTGCCTGCCCCACGGTGTCACCAGGGTCTGTTCCTGCCCCACGCTGTCACCAGGTTCTGTTCCTGCCCCACGGTGTCACCAGGTTCTGTTCCTGCCCCACGCTGTCACCAGGTTCTGTTCCTGCCCCACGCTGTCACCAGGTTCTGTTCCTGCCCCACGCTGTCACCAGGTTCTGTTCCTGCCCCACGGTGTCACCAGGTTCTGTTCCTGCCCCACGCTGTCACCAGGTTCTGTTCCTGCCCCACGGTGTCACCAGGTTCTGTTCCTGCCCCACGCTGTCACCAGGTTCTGTTCCTGCCCCACGCTGTCACCAGGTTCTGTTCCTGCCCCACGGTGTCACCAGGTTCTGTTCCTGCCCCACGCTGTCACCAGGTTCTGTTCCTGCCCCACGCTGTCACCAGGTTCTGTTCCTGCCCCACGCTGTCACCAGGTTCTGCACCTGCCCCACGGTGTCACCAGGTTCTGTTCCTGCCCCACGGTGTCACCAGGTCCTGTTCCTGCCCCACGGTGTCACCAGGTTCTGTTCCTGCCCCACGGTGTCACCAGGTTCTGCTCCTGCCCCACGGTGTCACCAGGTTCTGTTCCTGCCCCACGGTGTCACCAGGTTCTGCACCTGCCCCACGGTGTCACCAGGTTCTGTTCCTGCCCCACGGTGTCACCAGGGTCTGTTCCTGCCCCACGGTGTCACCAGGGTCTGTTCCTGCCCCACGGTGTCACCAGGTTCTGTTCCTGCCCCACGGTGTCACCAGGTTCTGCTCCTGCCCCACGGTGTCACCAGGGTCTGTTCCTGCCCCACGGTGTCACCAGGTTCTGCACCTGCCCCACGGTGTCACCAGGTCCTGTTCCTGCCCCACGGTGTCACCAGGTTCTGTTCCTGCCCCACGGTGTCACCAGGTCCTGTTCCTGCCCCACGGTGTCACCAGGTCCTGTTCCTGCCCCACGGTGTCACCAGGTTCTGTTCCTGCCCCACGGTGTCACCAGGGTCTGTTCCTGCCCCACGCTGTCACCAGGGGCTGTTCCTGCCCCCCGGCTCATGGCCAGGCCCCCCCACTGGCGCTGCCGGGGGTCCCGCACAGCGTCCATTGCCCGGGGCTCCACCGGCGAGGAGGAGCTCCCTGCTCGGTTCCGGGGAGCTCGGGGCCCTGCCAGGGTCTCCGCTTGTCCTTGCCCCCCCCGCCGGGAGAGCCGCACGGAGCCGGCCGGTTCCGGGGGAGGAGCTCCCGGCGCTGCCGGGCGCCCCCTCGGGCTCCGGGCTCTGCACTCCCCGCTCCTGCAGCTCCCGTTGTCCCTCCGGAGCGAGGCTCTGCCGCAAGCCCAGCCAGGGGGCAAGGGGGCTCCTACGGTGGATGCAGGAGCCGAACCCTTTGGCTGTCGCCGCGGAACGGGCGCCAGGAGCACCATGAAAGGGCCTCGTCTGGATTCATCTTTGCCCGTCCTGGCAGACGCCTGGTGCCCGGCGGGAAGCCGTGGAGCGGGGCATGCAGGGGTGCAGGAGGCCGGTTCCCGCAGCATCAGCTCCCTCCCTCGTGGGGCTCGTTGTGAGCTCCCTTCAGGGCCTCTCCTCCCCTTGGAGCCGTGATTGACTCCCGGCTGTCTCCGGTCACCCGCCTCCCCCTGATGATTTAACCCGTTCCAGCAGCTGGGCCAGTGTGGCTGTAACTGAGCGCATCCCATGGGGGGCCTGGGCCCTGCGTGTCCCCCACCCCGTGCTCACCCCCAGCCCACATCAGCCACTGCCGGTGCCAGCCCAGGAACCCCCATGGATAGGCAGAAGCAGGACACTCGCCCCAGGGTTCTATTTCCAGTCTGTCAGGTTTCTCAGGTGCAGGGTACAGTGGGGATGCAGTGGGGATGCAGTGGGGATGCAGTATGGGTACAGTGGGGATGCAATGGGGATGCAGTGGGGATGCAGTATGGGTACAGTGGGGATGCAATGGGGATGCAGTGGGGATGCAATGGGGATGCAGTATGGGTACAGTGGGGATGCAGTGGGGATGCAGTGGGGATGCAGTATGGGTACAGGGGGGTTGCAATGGGGATGCAGTGGGGATGCAATGGGGATGCAGTGGGGATGCAGTATGGGTACAGTGGGGATGCAATGGGGATGCAGTGGGGATGCAATGGGGATGCAGTGGGGATGCAGTATGGGTGCAGTGGGGATGCAATGGGGATGCAGTGGGGATGCAGTGGGGATGCAGTATGGGTACAGTGGGGATGCAATGGGGATGCAGTGGGGATGCAGTATGGGTACAGTGGGGATGCAATGGGGATGCAGTGGGGATGCAGTATGGGTACAGTGGGGATGCAATGGGGATGCAGTGGGGATGCAATGGGGATGCAGTGGGGATGCAGTATGGGTGCAGTGGGGATGCAATGGGGATGCAGTGGGGATGCAGTATGGGTACAGTGGGGATGCAATGGGGATGCAGTGGGGATGCAGTATGGGTACAGTGGGGATGCAATGGGGATGCAGTGGGGATGCAGTATGGGTACAGTGGGGATGCAATGGGGATGCAGTGGGGATGCAATGGGGATGCAGTGGGGATGCAGTATGGGTGCAGTGGGGATGCAATGGGGATGCAGTGGGGATGCAGTATGGGTACAGTGGGGATGCAATGGGGATGCAGTGGGGATGCAGTATGGGTGCAGTGGTGTGCAATGCAGGTGCAACAAGGATGCAGTGGGGATGCACTGTGGGTGCAATGGGGTGCAATAGCATGCAGTGGGAGCGTAATGTGGTGCAATGGGGCTGCAGTGGGGGTGCAATGGGGATGCAGCCACCCGGGGGTCTGGGAGCCCTCCTGCCTGCAGCAGGCACTGGTTGGGGTCCCACTGTTGGGCTCCTCCTGCCCAGCACCGGTGAAGCTCTCACCCTGCACCTTCATAGGAGACACGGGGGGTGCTCAGCACCATCCGCCCTCATGGCGCACCCAGAGCCGGCCCCACCGGTGGGGAGCCGTGGTCGGGGGTGCACCGGGGCGCTGGGTCCCTCAGGCAGCCTTGCCCAGCACCAGCAGGCTCATGAGCAGCACCATGAGGAAGAAGACCCACATGAAGAACCGGTCCAGCACCTTGGCCACCCTCTTCCACTCCCCGCTGCGGCGCTGCGCGGCGCGGTGCCGGCGGAAGCACCCCGCGATGTAGGCGACGTGGTCCAGGACGGCGCGGTGGTGGCAGAGGCAGCGCTGCCGGGGGCACGGCCCGGGGCTGGCCCCCAGCTCCCCGCGAGCATCCCCCGGGCCCGGAGCCCGCCGCGGGCCCCGGCAGCCGCCCCCCAGCCCGCAGAGCCGCGCCAGGTGCCGCAGGATGAGGCGCTGAGCCCAGCGCGGCACCGGGCGAGCCCCCGGCCCGCAGTGGTGAACGTTCATGATGAGGATGGTGAGCGCCGTGGAGGCCGCGATCATGGTCATGGTGGCGATGTAGTACTTGCCTGCGGGGAAACGGGGCGGGGCAGGGATGGAGGCGGCGTTCACACCCCATGGGGCCGAGGCCTCAGTGCCATGGGGCAGTGGCGGCCTCGGCAGGGCGGGGAGCGGTTGCACTGCGGGAGCTCGAGCAGCTTTTCCAACCTGGCCCAGTCCATGGCTCTATGGTTCCATGAGGTGAGGCCACAGTGAGGGGCTGACACCTGCACCCCCATCACAGAGCCATAGGATTGTGGAATGACAGAGCCCCGGCCTGGTTTGGGCTGAAGGGACCCTAAAGCTCCTCCAGCTCCAGCCCCTGCCCCGGGCAGGGACCCCTTCCATAGAGCAGCTTGCTCCAAGCCCCTGTGTCCAACCTGGCCTTGAGCACTGCCAGGGATGGGGCAGCCACAGCTTCTCTGGGCACCCTGTGCCAGCGCCTCAGCACCCTCCCAGGGAAGAGCTTCTGCCTAAGAGCTCAGCTCAGTCTCCCCTCGGGCAGGTTCAAGCCATTCCCCTTGGCCTGTCCCTACATCCCTTGTCCCAAGCCCCTCTCCAGCTTTCCTGCAGCCCCTTCAGGCACTGGAGCTGCTCTCAGGTCTCCCCTTCAGGAGCCTTCTCTTCTCCAGGCTGCCCCAGCCCAGCTCTCTCAGCCTGGCTCCAGAGCAGAGCTGCTCCAGCCCTCGCAGCAGCTCCATGGCCTCACCCCAACAGCTCCAGGTCCCTCTGGTGTTGAGGACACCAGAACCGCACCACACCCCCCCCCCGCCGCCGCCCTTTCCACTGCCGTGGGATGGTGCCGGGCGCTCACCGATGAGCGGGACGCTCTCCGATGGGGGCATGCTCTCCGCCACCAGGAGCTGGAACACGGTGAGCGCCAGCAGCACCGTCACCCCCAGCGACACCTTCTCGCCCGAGTCTGCGGGCAGGTAGAAGCTGAGCGGGGCCAGGAAGGAGACCATGAGGCAGGGCAGGAGCAGGTTGAAGACGTAGAAGGAGGCGCGGCGGCGCAGCAGGAGGGTGTAGGTGACGTCGGGGTAGGGCTCGGAGCAGCAGCCGTAGGTGACCACGTTCCTCGTGGCCGGCATCCCCAGCACCTCCCACTCCACGTTCTCCACGAAGTCTGTCAGGTCGCCGGCATCCAGCCGGTTCCGGAGGTCGATCTGGTTCCCGTTGTAGGTCCAGGAGCCGAAGGTGAGGCGGCAGCGCTGCCCGTCGAAGGGGAAGTAGGAGACGTCCACCTTGCAGGAGCTCTTGGTGATGGCGGGCGCGTCCCACAGGATGAGCCCGTCCGAGCGCAGCACCACGTTGGTCTCCATCGAGCCGCCGAAGCGGTCGTCGGCGCTGGGGGGACGGACGTGGGGCCCCATGTGGGGCTCGGATCCTCCTCAGTGCAGTGTCCCAGCCCCACATCACCCCCAGCGCGGGGTTCGGTGCCAGCCCCCGGTTGCGGTGACCGCCTCCCTCCATCACCCACCCCAGACCCCCCTGCTCCCACCCCACAACAGCCCCAGGGTTGGTGACACCCATCAGCCTCCCCAGCCCCATTCTGAGCCCCCCGGCTCCAGGAGCAGTGAAGGGGGGGCCCCGTGACCCACTTGTTGTAGAGGATGATGTCCGGCCGCCACACGTAGCTGCTGGGGATGCGGATGCTGTCGATGCCGCCATAGGCATCCTTGTCCCACGTGAGGTGAGCGTCCAGCCAGGCCTGGCGCACCCACAGGTACGAGGTGAGGACCTGGTTCCTCTCGTCCTGTGGGGGGCACAGGGCTGGGCACAGGGGATGGCCCCCGTTGTCACCCACAACCCCCCTCAGCACCCAGCCTGGTCGGTGCCTTCTGCAACAGTCATGGGGTCATGGGATGCTTTGGGATGAAGGGAGCTTAAAGCTCCTCCAGGGAGGGCAGGGACCCCTTCCATAGAGCAGCTTGCTCCAAGCCCCTGTGTCCAACCTGGCCTTAGGCTGGCTGGGACCCCGGGGTTGTGCTGCTCTGGGGGCACTGGGGAGCTCTGAGCTGGCTCCAAGGGGTCCCTGCGCTGGGCACTGGTGAGGCCGCACCGCGGATCCCGTGCTCAGCTCTGGCCCCCTCACTGCAAGAGGCATTGAGGGGCTGGAGCGGGGCCAGAGCAGGGCAGCGGAGCTGGAGCAGGGCCTGGAGCCCAAGCGTGATGGGGAAGGGCTGAGGGAGCTGGGGGGGTCAGTGCGGAGCAGGGGAGGCGCCGGCGGTGCCGTGGCCCCGCGCCTCTCACCATGTCGATGATCTGGGACAGGGTGACCTGGAGGGTGACGTTGAGCGCCCGCTCCGTGTCCTCCACGGGCCGCAGGGCGCTGGAGTAGTTGGCGAAGAGGTCGTGGAGCAGCTTCTGGGCGACCCTGCCCGGGGCCCCGCGGCCGCCTGCGGGGATGCACAGCGGGGATGGAGCGGCCGCGGGCGCAACCGGCCCCGGCCCCAGGGACCACCGGGACCCGGGGCCAGCCCGAGCCCCTCGCACCCCCCCCGGCCCCCCTTGTGCTGGGGGGGGGCAGCGCCCTCGCTTACCCGGGGCCAGGAGGCAGGCGGCGAGGCAGAGCGCGAGCAGCGGCCGCTCCATCCCGAGCGCGGGGGGACACGGGCGCTGCTGCCGGTGACGTCAGGCACGGAGGGGGGAGCCGCGGGGCGATGGGGGGGACCCCGGTCCCTCTGTGGGGCCCGCAGGGGCTGCGACGGCGCCGGGGCTGGAGCGCTCTGGCGCTGCCTGCGCCGGGAGGTCCCGGGGGGACCGGGAGCCCTCGCCCCCGCCGCAGGGCAGCACCGCCGCGGGCAGCTCGGGACCGGGACCGGGACCGGGACCCGGTGACAAGGAGCGCGCAGGGGGGAGCTGGCTCCTCCCGCCCGGGGCTTCTGCAGCCCCAGGCCGCAGCCTCGGGGGCTGGAAACCGGCGCCTTGGGGCCCCTGGTGCGGGGAAGGGGCCGCTTCCCGCGGTCCTGGCGCAGGGGCAGCTGGAAACGGGAATTCGGGGCTCAAAGGGAGACGCTGGGGCGCTGGAAGCCACCGAGGCAGCAGCGGTGGGGAGAGCCGAGGGGGGATGCTGCGCGCCTGGGCTGGAGGGAGCGCAGCGCACGGCGAGGGGCGCCCGGTCCTCCGGCCGCAGGGAAGGAGCGAGGGAAGGGAAAAGGGGTGATTCCCATCTGTGGGAGCAGCGCTCCAGGGTACGGGATGGGACCCAGGGGGTGCAGCACAAGCGGCAGCGCGGTCCCTGCCGTGGCGGTGCCGGAGCATCCCCCGGGCGCCAGCCCTGCCCTGGCTCCGCTCCCACCCGGCTCCCGGCGGCAGATGCCGAGCACCGGGATCGGTTTTAAGGCCGGAGGCTCGGTTTCCAGGCAGTGAATTATTCATCCCCGGGCCCGGCGGGAGCCGCTGCACCGGAGGGACAGGGCTGCGGTAACGGCAGGAGGCAAAGGCAGCAGCACCGGGCTCCCAGCACCGGCAGAGCCCAGCCCAGAGCCTCCTCCTCAGTACAGGATCCCAGAGCAGTTCGGGTTGAAGGGACTTAAACTGTGGCTGCCCCATCCCTGGCAGTGTTCAAGGCCAGGTTGGACACAGGGGCTTGGAGCAAGCTGCTCTATGGAAGGGGTCCCTGCCCGTGGCAGGGGTTGGGAATAGAGGAGCTTTGAGGTTCCTTCATCCTAAAGGACTCCATGATCACACCCTAATTCCTGCTGCTCCTCCCGGCTCCAACACTGAAACGGGCTGGAAAAGCAAAGGAAACGGTGGGAATTCTATAAACATTTTATTTATTGTTTTCAAAAAGACAGGAAAATAATCTAGAGCATTTATTTATAATTCTTCAATAAAAACCTTTACATAACCCTCATGCACGAAGACCTCCGGAGCCAGGGGAGAGCTCCAGGCAGTGGAAGCTGCTGCTCCCCACAGGAGGTGCTGCAGCCACCCCGACACGGGAGCGGACCCGGGAGCAGGCCCTGGAGGAGCTGCTTTTCCTTCTTGCAAGAGTTAAGTGGGGTTCAGGACACAGCAGGAGCAGGGACAGCGCACACCGGAGCACGGGATGGGCTTGTGCCGATGGTGGCTCCACTCGGTGACACCAGCTCTGGCCCCGCAGGCAGTCGGAGCCTCGGAGGGCCTGGGGCAGAACGGGCTCTGTCCCAGCAGCAGCCTGAAGGTGGTGATGGGGAGAAGCCTCACAGAGCTCACGCCAGCTCCCTGCTCGGGAGCCAGGGAGGCAGCTGGGGGACGGATGAACTTGTTCCAGCCTCCCCCTTCACATGAGGATGCAGAAGACAGTTCTGAGTGAGGTTTCTTCTCCCCTCACCCCCCAGCAGCAACCCCCTAACCCAAAACCCTGCCTCAAGCTCATCCATGGCCAGTGCTGAAGGTTCGTGGATTTCCCCAGCGCAGCCCCACCACGGGAAACTGCCCCAGAGCTGCTTCCCATGCTCTGCGCTGCCCCAGGACTGGCCAGAGGATGAAGCCACCGCCGTGCCCCCTCCGCAGGGACAACGAGGCTCAGCAGGGAGCGCTCCCGGTGCCAGGAGCGTGGTGTGCGGCTGGGGAGCAGCCTGCGAGGGGCGCCCGGCCCCAGCGCGCCCCGGGGACAAAGACTGCTGCGTTACCCAGGGCTAAAGCTGTTGGAGACCTTTATGGACAAAACCTGCGCCGAGGGGAAGGGGAACGAGTGGTACAAAACGAGTGTCCGGGGGGGGGCTCAGTGCGTGCCGACCGTCAGCTCCCGCAGGTAGGACTGCGTGAGGCTGCGCAGCTCCTCCAAGGCGTAGTCCTCGGGCATGGGCAGGCGGCCGATGTGCGGGGCCAGCAGGCGCAGGGGCACGCGCTGCAGCTCGGCCGCGGGCTCACACACGGGCTCCGGGGCGTGCTGCAGCCCCAGCACCACGCGCAGCAGGTTGGCGATGCGCTTGGCCATGTCTGCAACGGGAGGAGAGGAGAGGGGAGGGGAGAGGAGAGGAGCTGCCATGGGCTCCAGGTGCCAGCAGCGACACCTCCACCCACACAGAGCTCCTCCAAGGGGAACAGGGCCTCGTTCCTCAGAATCAGGGAATGGTTTGGGTTGGAAGGGACCCTAAAGCTCCCCCAGCTCCAGCCCCTGCCACGGGCAGGGACCCCTTCCATAGAGCAGCTTGCTCCAAGCCCCTGTGTCCAACCTGGCCTTGAGCACTGCCAGGGATGGGGCAGCCACAGCTTCTCTGGGCACCCTGTGCCAGCGCCTCAGCACCCTCCCAGGGAAGAGCTTCTGCCTAAGAGCTCAGCTCAGTCTCCCCTCGGGCAGGTTCAAGCCATTCCCCTTGGCCTGGCCCTACATCCCTTGTCCCAAGCCCCTCTCCAGCTTTCCTGCAGCCCCTTCAGGCACTGGAGCTGCTCTCAGGTCTCCCCTTCAGGAGCCTTCTCTTCTCCAGGCTGCCCCAGCCCAGCTCTCTCAGCCTGGCTCCAGGGCAGAGCTGCTCCAGCCCTCGCAGCAGCTCCGTGCCCTCCTCTGGACTCCCTGTACCCCTTGTGCTGTTGCCCCAGAGCTGAAGGCAATGCAGGGGTGGGGGGGTCTCACTGTACCTGACTGAGCCAGGCGGTCCTTGGCGCTGTGGCACTGGATCTGCTCTATCCTGTTGCACAGCGATGTCACTTTGGTGTGTAACCTCTCCAGCTCATAGGTGGAACAATCCAGCTGAAAAGCAAGCACAAGAGTCAGGCTCTGAGTCAGCCAAAGCCCCTCAAGCAGCAACACTGAGCACACTTGGGCAGATCCATCCAACAGCAGACATAACCCATGCTACAACCTGTGTGAGGGCAACACCTGAAGCTGGGAAATGGGAAGCCTTGAACTGCATGAGGGGACTCACAGGCAGGTTCCCCACGAAGCAGCTAACAGCGAGTGCCATTCCTTTTCACTTACCCCACATCTCCCTACACAGAGCACAGGTGCAGGACAGAGCCACATCTTAGAATCACAGAATGGTTTGAGTTAAAGGGACCTTAAAGCTTGCTCCTGTCCCAACCCCCTGCCACGGGCAGGGACACCTCCCACTGGAGCAGCTTGCTCCAAGCCCCTCTCTGGGTTTCCTGCATCCCCTTCAGGCACTGGAGCTGCTCTCAGGTCTCCCCTTCAGGAGCCTTCTCTTCTCCAGGCTGCCGCAGCCCAGCTCTCTCAGCCTGGCTCCAGAGCAGAGCTGCTCCAGCCCTCGTAGCAGCTCCGTGCCCACCTCTGGCCTCGCTCCAACAGCTCCGGGTCCCTCCGGTGGTGTTGCCCCAGAACTGCCTTAACCAGCACTGAGGGGCAGGAGCAGCAGCGCAGCGAGCAGGGGGCTGGGCTCACACCAAGCGGCACCGCTGCCTCTGTGCCTGCTGCAGGACAAGCCCAGCAGGACCCGGCTGCACTGGGGGCTGCAGCAGCCGGCCCATGCACACGCGTCCCTCAGCCCCACAGGACAGCGGGGCTGGGCCAGGGGCAAACACGGCTGCAAACCAGAAGTGAAACCGCTCTGCTCCGCTGCGCCCTCCGTGCCCTCAGGAGGCAGCTGGGGCAGGAGGGGTGTGAGGGGGGAGCAGCCCATGGCCCCAGAGAGGACAACCCCACACCAGCCCTGGCAGGCACCGAGGCCCCGGCTGCTGCCTCCAGCCCAGAGCTGCCCTCTCTCTGCCTCCAGTTCCCCTTCTCCCCCAGCTCTCCCCTTCCTTCCCCTCCTCCTCGGAGCCTTCCTCCCGCCTCCCCTCCTGCACAGCTTCATCTTCCCTTCTCTCACCATTTGCCACCCTGCAGCTGGAACCCGCCTGCACTTCCCCATCTCGGCCCGGTTCCTCAGCACCCTCCTGCCCTCGCACAGAGGCACTTGCGACACCAGCCCCAGCACCGAGGCTTTTGCAAGACCGATTCCTGTCCCGCACCCTCCAGCAGCACTGCTGGAAACTGCACTGAGGGGCTGGGACCAGAGCCTGAGCCCTGCTCGGCTGGAGCAGGAGGAAGGACGGGGGCTCCTGCACGGACTTGGTCCTGGAGATGGTCCCAGGGTTGGTCCTGGAGAACCCGAACCCCTCTGGGCACCCTGAGTGGCTCCGTCTCCCGGTACCCTCTGCTGAGGAGGAGGGAAGGACGGGACAGCACAGGACAGGGTCATGCTCCTCACCCATCCCCTGCTGCCAGGGCCGGCTCCAGGGCTGGGGGAGCGAAGCTCAGAACCGACACAAACAGAGCCCAAATCTGCCCTTGAGCCACCCTGACCTGCCAGACCCTGTCCTCGAGCAGCACCACGAGCCCCCAGCCCGGCAGCTCAGCACGAGCTGCCCAACTTCTCACTATTCTATGATTCTGTAACTTATGGTCTGCGATTACATAAAGGTTTTACCCCTAAATCACTGCACAAGTAATTTATAGTAACTTGGTTGTCTATGTTACCTTCCACTAGACCATGCTGCTCCAATCCACCCTCTATCTTATTTCAACAGGACCTTCCAGACCTCCCCGTTTTCAGACATGCACCATGTGCTGTTTGAAGGGTGACGCCAACATTAACACTGACAGCGAGGAAAAGGTTATTCTAAAAGCAGAACTCCACAGGAGCTTCCAAACTGAAGGAAGAAACCAATCCAAGTGTTTTCATCTGTTACCTGTTGAATCCTGTCCAGCATCTCAATGACACGGATGTAATCC